AAGGAAACAACACACGGGTCACTGCTCGCTCTTAGAAATGCAAAGCTCTTCTGCAACACTCTGCTCCCAAGCTGGGGCAGGTGAGCTTTTCTAGAGAGGAGGCTAAAATTTGTCCAAGCATTTCCAGTAAAATTTGACAAATTATTTCAGGCAGTAGCATAGGAAGGAACCCAAAAAGATGCCAAAGCAGTCATTTGATTTTCAGATTCAAGTTTGAAAGCACATTCCATTTGCAGCCTGCAATGAACTCTGTCCATGTTCAAAGCACAAGAGATCCCCAACTGCAGCAGCACGAAAGAAGAGAAATCTCCCTCCCGAGAGGAAATTGTGAAACCTGTGACAGAGAAGAGAGAGCAGCAGTTCTATCCCCCCACCCCCCTGCACCAGCAGCAGAGTGAGGTGCCAGAGCCTCCAGCCCGGCCAGGAGGGCATAGAGCTCCAGTTTGCAGCGGCACTCACCGGTGAGCAGAGTGAGCTTGGCCATCTTGGACCAGACTGATGTGCTCAGCCTCTCTCCCGCTTTTATACCCTGCTCCTCTCTGCTGCCAATGGGGGAACAACAGTGATTGACAAACATTACGAAACTTGGCAGGCAGCCGTGTCACCAAATGTGACACCAGGACAATGGGGCTGAGCACCCAGCTGGAGGGGTCACTGGTGTAGGGCCGTGCCGTGTCCTGGTGCTGCAAGGGCAGGTAATGAACGGGATTAGATTGCTTTGATTGTTCCAAGTGCTGTTTCCATGTTTGTGTCACCTCTGGCAGCCCCACAGGCACCGATGGCTGAAGTGTGTGACCTTCAGCCCTTCCCCAGGGGGTGGCACTGCCAAAGCCGAGCTTTGGGCTTTGCCAGGCTCGGGTGTCCTTGGTGGGACCGTCCCAGGCAGGGCTGAGCGGGGTTGTGGTGGAGCATTGGGAATGTTGGAGGCTGTGGGATCTGGGCTGGGACAGAGGGACCTTGGTGGGCTGAGCTGTGTCTTGCCCTCCCAGCTGAGGTGGGCTCACATCAGGGAAGCAGAGGAAGTTTCTTTATTTTTTGGAGGTTAAACTCTACAAGGGACACTCCCAAAGATGGGGCAGGTGGATTTCCCTCTGACATTTATCCCCGTCTCTTCCTGCTCAGCTCTTTCCCAAACTGAGACACGGCCCTGTTGCCGAGCACTCCTGTTTTTCCTTATGTGAATCTCCATCGGTGAAATGTCTCAAAATATTCTTCCCACAGTTTTATTTTCATCTTCTGTCCAGGTGGAAACTCCAATCTCTCACCCTGTGTCAGGGGACCAGGGATTTCTTCCCTTTTCCCCACTCAGGAGAGGGGACACGGCTGTGTCCCTGCACTGGGATGTTTAATTCCTTTTGAGGTGACGTGAAGGTGACTTTCCAGGAGGTCACCCAGCCTTGGATGTATGGAAGCCTGGAAAACAGGCTGGTATCAGATGTTGGCTGAGCTGCAGATTAAATTGTGCCAGCCTGAGCCTGTGGGGTTTCGTGCAGGCACGGGGTGGGATACGGCTGATAACAGGACAACATCCTCAAGGAGTATTTTTCCGATGTTTTTCTTGGTTGATAAAGTCCCAGGGTACAAACTGAACCAGGATAGATTTGGAAAATCCCACCCTCAATGACTTCTGGAACATTTTCAGCTCTGCTATCCATGGAAGGTGTTTTGGTGTGGTAAGGAAAGCGTTTGGGGCAGGCTCAAGGACATTGATTTGTCTTCTTATTGGGGTAACAAACTCAGATCCCAGAGTTTTCTGTCAGGACTTTTCCTTCTCGACTTTTCCGACCCTTTTGCTTTTATAAAAGTGGTTTGCCATGGGTTCCCTGGGAGTGGTGGGAGTTAAAAAAAGGCATGAGAATTGGTCCTTGCTGAAAGAATTCCAATTTAAAAGAGCGGACAGTCACCTTCCAACTATTCCAATGTTGGGTTGCAGAGAGATTCCACCACTCCGGGCTTTTCCTGCTGCATCTTCCCTCTAAAACTCTCATCCCACTGATTCCATGGCTGTTGGGATGGAGCCTGTCCATCCTTCTGCTCTTTTCTGATGGCTCATGGAGATCAGAACCTGATATTCCTGTTGTGCCCAGCTCAGCAGTGCCCAGGTGCTCCTTCCAGGATGATTCCTTCAAACTTTCTCCTCCTTTTTGTCCTGGAGGTTTGGCAGATTCAGGGATGGCACCGGCACAGCCAGAGGTGTTTCTGACAGGAAAAATCCCCAAAACCTGCTGTTTTCCCCAAAAGCTTCATCCATTCAAGCCCTGCTGACCTCGCTGTGTCTGAGCCATCCCTTCAGGAAGGGTGTTTGGCTCTCCCTGCCCTGGCTGGCGAGGTCCCCATGGAAAACTCCATGGGGACAAACGGAAAGGTCACTGGAATGTTGCCATGTCCTTTGGAAAACACTGGCCTGTCCCTAATGGGGACGCAGGGATGCAGATCCCGGGCTCCTGGAACAGGGACAGCGGGGCTGGCTGCTCCCAGAGGGATTTGTGCCCATGGCAGGCAGGTGGGTGAGTCCTGGGGATAGCCGAGATCCAGCCCGGGATTCCCACACGGAGCAAAGGCACCGCTGGGTTTGGATGTGAGGAGCTGGATGAGTTTGCCAAGGAAAACTTCAGGAAAGCCAGGACTGCTTTGGGGCACGTCTGGTGACGTGACAACAACCATAGGGACAATCTGCCCCAGGATGGTTTGATTTTTGGGAATAAAAATAAAAATTTTTTGGAATTTTCCTGTGGGGGTTTATTAAAAAAATAAGTCTGCATAGATTATTTTTTATCTTCATATACATATTTATTTCTTTTTATTTATATGCACAAACATAATTATTTCTATACATGTTTATTTTTATTTCTCTGCCCATGGATATTTCTATTTATCTCCATATATTTATTTACTTCTATTTATCTGCCTATATATATTTATATTTATCTGCATGTATATATTTATTTCTATTTGTCTGCATATCCATATGAATTTATTTAAATTTATGCATATCCATATATATTTATTTAAATGTATGCATACCCCTATCTATTTAATTAAATTTATCCATACCCACATATATTTATTTAAATTTATCCATATCTATATATATATTTATGGCCTATACCATCTGAGCATCCAGGCCCTGGGCTCAGGGCTGGGATTTCCCTGCCCGTGGCTGAGGGCTCCAGGATTCCCCTGCAGATGGATCCGTGTTTCCCTGTGTGCCAGAAGCACCTCAGAGCCTCCAGCATTCCCAGCTCCCTCCCTGCTCCTGGAAGAAACTATCCACGGAGAGCAGATCCAAGGTGGGGCAGCTGAGCTGGGAGATTCCCGAGGGATTTTCCTGCAGCTCCCAGGAGCTGAGCTGGACGCTGGCTGTGCCCCAGGGACGGGTCCCCAAGGGTGGCTGCAGCACCTGGAGGGATCCGTGGGCCTGGAATGCTGCACCTGGGATGGAATCTGTGGTGGGAACAGCCTCTGGCTCTGCTGCTTTTCTTCCCTGTGGGAACGCCTGGGTTGCTGGCGCTGCTGTCACAAAGCTCTCCCTGCTCTGTGGTGGCTTTTCCAGGGAATATCTGAGGCTCCTTTCCAGACAGGTAAAAGCAGAAGCCACTTGTTGGCGTTTTGAAGACTCCAAGTCTGCAATTCCACCCTCAGGCTGCTGGACTGGGACAGGACTGGACTTTTGGGGCTCCAGGACACATCAGGAGTCTATGGTGGGTTGGGACGTGCTCAGCCAAACCATTCCTGAAGGGAGGAATTCCTACAGCTACCTGTGAGCCAGAGCAGCAGGGCTGGGGAGTTCTGAGCCCAGCCAGGAGGGCAGAGAGCTCCACCGGTGAGCAGAGTGAGCTTGGCCATCTTGGACCAGACTGATGTGCTCAGCCTCCCTCCCACTTTGATATCCTTCCCCATTCTCCTGCCCCTCTGACATCAACAGCGATGCACAAATATTATGAAATTGGCAAAGATCCCGTCACCAAACCGACTCCAGGACAATGGGGCTGAGCACCCAGCTGGAGGTGTCATTGCTGTGGGGCCGTGCCAAATCCGGGTGCTGCAAGGGCAGGTAAAAAATGGAATTCTATTTCTTTGATTGTTCAGATGCTGTTTTTAACAACAGCTCTGTGTTCCTGCTGGTGACTGCGCAGGGACCGATGGCTGAAGTGTGACCTTGTGCTGCCCTTGAGTCCCTCCAGAGATGCAGGCACTATCAAAGCACAGCTGTGGCACAAGGGATTGGTCTCCTTGGGTTGATGGAAACAAAGTGAATCAGAATCAGCTTCCGCTGCGTTGTCCTCCCACTTGTTCTTGTGACCATGGGTGTCAGGAGATCAGGGAAAGAAAATGACAAAAACAACCCTTCTTATGGAAAAGTTTTTCTTCATCAGGTGGAGAATGACTCAGTGAAAAACAATCTGGTTCTTCTTTGGTGGTGGGATTCCTCCTGCCTGCTTCCCTGACGTGAGCCCACCTCAGCTGGGAGGGCAAGACACAGCTCAGCCCACCAAGGTCCCTCTGTCCCAGCCCAGATCCCACAGCCTCCAACATTCCCAGTGCTCCACCACAACCCCGCTCAGCCCTGCCTGGGACGGTCCCACCAAGGACACCCGAGCCTGGCAAAGCCCAAAGCTCGGCTTTGGCAGTGCCACCCCCTGGGGAAGGGCTGAAGGTCACACACTTCAGCCATCGGTGCCTGTGGGGCTGCCAGAGGTGACACAAACATGGAAACAGCACTTGGAACAATCAAAGCAATCTAATCCCGTTCATTACCTGCCCTTGCAGAACCCGGATTTGGCACGGCCCCACAGCAATGACACCTCCAGCTGGGTGCTCAGCCCCATTGTCCTGGTTTGGGGATGGGGATCTTTGCCAATTTCATAATATTTGTCCATTGCTGTTGATGTGAGACGGGCAGCAGAGAGGAGCAGGGTATAAAAGCGGGAGAGAGGCTGAGCACATCAGTCTGGTCCAAGATGGCCAAGCTCACTCTGCTCACCGGTGAGTGCCGCTGCAAACTGGAGCTCTCTGCCCTCCTGGCTGGGCCGGAGGCTCTGGCACCTCACTCTGCTGCTGGTGCAGGGGGGTGGGGGGATAGAACTGCTGCTCTCTCTTCTCTGTCACAGGTTTCACAATTTTCTCTGGGGAGGGAGATTTCTCTTCTTTCGTGCTGCTGCAGTTGGGGATCTCTTGTGCTTTGAACATGGACAGAGTTCATTGCAGGCTGCAAATGGAATGTGCTTTCAAACTTGAATCTGAAAATCAAATGACTGCTTTGGCATCTCTTTGGGTTCTTTTCTATGCTACTGCCTGAAATAATTTGCCAAATTTTACTGGAAATGCTTGGACAAATTTTAGCCTCCTCTCTAGAAAAGCTCACCTGCCCCAGCTTGGGAGCAGAGTGTTGCAGAAGAGCTTTGCATTTCTAAGAGCGAGCAGTGACCCGTGTGTTGTTTCCTTGTGCCCTGGCAGGCCTGGCGCTGCTGCTGAACGCCCAGCTCGGTAGGTGCTGGTCCCCTGGAGCAGCTGCTCCTGCAGGAGCTGCTGGCTGGCTCCGCGCTGCCTCCTGGGCTGGAAGGGCCCATGTGGGGTAGCGAGCCCGGGGCAGGAGCTGAAGGGCAGCGGAGACTCCGGGACCGAGCCCTCGGCAGGGCCAGAGGAGGAAGGCGCCGAGTCCGGGGCGGTGGTGGGGAGCCCGGCAGTGAGCGAGGGATCCCCAGCCCCGCCGGCCTTGCCCTGAGCTCCTGGCCCAGGCAGGGAGCCTGGCCCGGCCTGCCCCGGCAGCAGCGCGGGGATGCTGTGCCCGAGGGGCCGGGCTGTGCCCAGGGCACTGCAGGCCCCTCCATGGCCGGTGTCTCCCTGCAGGCACTGCCTATGTGCTGACCTGTTACTTCACCAACTGGGCCCAGTACCGGCCTGGCCTGGGCAAGTACACCCCCGAAAATGTTGACCCCTGCTTGTGCAACCACCTGATCTACGCCTTTGCCGGCATGAACAACAATGAGATCACCACCTATGAGTGGAACGACGAGACCCTGTACAAGTCCTTCAACGGCCTCAAGAACCAGTGAGTGCCGGGAGCCTCGGGCAGGGCTGCTGCTCCCTCTGGGGCCGGCCAGGGCTGGGTAGGGGGGACAGCCCCATCCTCTGAGCTGGGGGACAGTGGCTCTGGGCGCTGTGGACATGCAATAACTCTGGGTCCTGCCTCTTCCCCTGCAGGAACAAAGATCTGAAGACCCTGCTGGCCATTGGAGGATGGAATTTCGGCACACAGAAGTGAGTTCAATCCATGTCCTACCCTAAACATGGAAAACGAATGAGAGGAGGATGGGGCTGCATGGAAACCCCACCTCTCTCCTGCTCTGCTTGCCCAGGTTCACCACCATGGTCTCCACACCCCAGAACCGCCAGACCTTCATCAACTCCGTCATCAAATTCCTGCGCCAGTATCAGTTTGACGGGCTGGATCTGGACTGGGAATACCCCGGCTCCAGGGGCAGCCCCGCTCAGGACAAGGCTCTCTTCACCGTCCTGGTTAAGGTGGGCTTGGCTCTGGCCTGTGAGCCCTGGGTGGCTGCAAAGCCCCATCCCAGAGCCCCAGGTGATCGCTGTCCCTTGGATCCCTCAGGAACTGCTGGAAGCCTTCGAGAAGGAAGCCAAACAGACCAACCAGCCCCGTCTCATGGTCACCGCCGCTGTGGCTGGAGGACTTTCCACCATCCAGGCTGGCTACGAGATTGCTGAGATTGGCAAGTGAGTGGCAAAGTCTGGGGTCCTTGGTGGGATTTGAGGGGTTTCCTGGGAGTGCTGAAGTGAAAGAGCCCCTGAGGGAGCCCCATGGGCAGCCTCAGCTCCGGTGCCTCAGGTGAGGACACAACCCCCGCTCCTGCAGGTACCTGGATTACATCCACGTGATGACCTACGACTTCCACGGATCCTGGGAGAGGAACACTGGCGAGAACAGCCCCCTGTTCGCCGGCCCTGCTGACACTGGCGACTACAAATACTTCAACGTTGTGAGTGTTTCTGTGGGACACTCACAGGTCTCAGACCCTTGGTGGCTGCCCTGAGGAGATTTTGAGGAATTCATCCTACAGAGACTCAAGCAGGAATGGTTTCTTGCAGGAATACGCCATGAATTATTGGAAGAGCAACGGTGCCCCAGCTGAGAAGCTCCTTGTGGGATTCCCAACCTATGGAAAGAGCTTCACCCTGCAGAACCCATCCGACACCTCCGTTGGAGCTCCAGCATCCGGCCCTGGCCCCGCTGGGCCCTATACCAGGGAGGCCGGAACTCTGGCTTACTACGAGGTATGGATGTTCCCATCACATTCTGTTCCCAAATCATTTGAAGGAATTTTTCAGGATGGAGTTTTCTGCATGGCTCAGACAGAAAGCTATCCATGGAATCGCTAGGAAGGAGCTGTGTACTCAGAGAACAGGGAAGCAGCACAAAACCAGAAGATGAAGCCAAGGCAAGGGCAGAGCCTGGGCTTTTCCCTTTTGTGGGTAACATTCCTGCTTCCTTCTCCTTAGATCTGCAGTCTCCTGAGTTCTGGAGCCACCCAGGCTTGGGATGAACCCCAGGATGTTCCCTACGCCTACAAGGGCAGCGAATGGGTCGGCTACGACAACGTCAAGAGCTTCGGCCTCAAGGTCTGGGGCAGCGGGGCCGTGCTGGGACGAGGCTGGAGCCTCCTGTGGGATCAGTTCCTGGGGCTCACCGGGATTTTCCTCCCCACAGGTGGACTGGCTGAAGAAGAACAACTTTGGAGGTGCCATGGTGTGGGCCCTGGATATGGATGACTTCACTGGCACCTTCTGCCACGAGGGCAAATACCCCCTGATCTCCAGCCTGAAGAAGGGCCTGGGGCTGCAGAACGGCGGTGAGTGGCTCCAGGAGAGCGGGAGCAGCTCCTTGGTGGGGACTCCCCAAATTCCTATGGAGGTGTGGGAGGGATGAAACACTTCCAATCCTTTCCCCAATTCCAGACTGCGTTCCCCCCGCTGAGCCTCCATCACCGAGGTTCCCACCATCTCCAGCGGGAGCAGCTCCGTCATGGAGACTCCCAAACTTCCTACGGAGGCGTGGGAGGGATGAAACACCGGGAACATGAAAATAAACCTTTTCCTACTTGAATTCTTGAATTCCAGACTGCGTTCCCCCTGCTGAGCCCCTGCCTCCCATCACCGAGGCTCCCACCACCACCACCACCAGCGGCGGCAGCGGCGGCTCCGGCTTCTGCGCCGGGAAACCCAACGGGATCTACGCAGACCCCGAGAACAACAGGAACTTCTACAACTGCGTGAACGGCCAGGGCATCCCGCAGAGCTGCGAGCCAGGGCTGGTCTTCGACCCCCTCTGCAGCTGCTGCAACTGGCCCCAGTGATCCCAACCCTTTCCCAGCCAATCCATCTGTCAGATTTAATTGTGTGCAATAATGATGATTAAATAAAGCTTTCCACAAGCAATCCTCCTTGTTTCAACTTGGGTTTTTATTGGCTGTTTTCATGCTCTCGGCTCTGCTGGAGTGTGTGGCTATTAAAATTCCCGACAGCAGGTGTCAATGTTGCCTGCTCTTCTTCCCAGGCCGTGGAGGGATTTTCCAGGAGTCTTCCGGCAACATTGGGAGAGGAAAAGCGGTTGCAGGCCAGAGAGCTGAGCTGTTAATCACAAATCGAGATTGGAGGTGAAGAGGAATTTTGTAGCAGTTTTTTATGGAAATGGAGCAGTTTGTCCTTGCCAGAGGTAAAAAAAGCCAGGATAAAGGCAGTTTGTTTCTCCAGGGTTTAAAAGCCTGTGGGAGATGTGGAACCATGGAATCCCCAACTGGGTTGGGTTAGAAGGGACCTTAAAGCTCATCCCATTCCACCCCTGCCATGGGCAGGAACACTTCCCACTATCCCAGGGTGCTCCAACCTGGCCTTGGACACTTCCATGGATCCAGGGGCAGCCACAGCTTCTCTGGAATTCTATTCCTGGGCTTTCCCACCCTCACAGGGAGGAATTTCTCCCTTATATCCTATCTAACCCTGCCCTCCTTCATCCTCAGGCCATTCCCCTTGTCCAAAGTCCCTCTCCAAGACGTGACTGGTTTAGGGTTAAAGAGAAATTATTAAACACATCCACCCAAAACCTCACCCAAGCCTGCCAGGATGCCTGGTGAAGCATTAATCCATCTATTTCCACACTCAGGAATCCCATTCCGTACAGCAGAGCACCCCAGAGCCTTGGCAGAGATAAACTCGTCCTTTTTGGCCATCTCAGATGTCCCATCGCGTCATCCCAGCACGTGTCTGTCCTTCCCTGGGCGCACACGGAGCTGCTGGAGCTCCTTGAACAGGGGCAAGGAGGTGATTGGAATGCTGGCAGGGCTGGAATCTACTCAGCTGCCTCAGGAGAGGGATTTGGGACCTGGCCTGGCCCAAATTTCTTCTTTTTTTTCCAAACGGAACATTTGGGATCGCTGCCATGAGATCCACGCTGTGGGAAGCCCTGGATGAAGGTCCAGCATCAACACCTGAGGTACAGCAACAGAATCCCAAAATCTCTGAGGTTGGAAAAGCCCTCCAGGATCATGGGGTCCAAGCTGTGCCCAATCCCCACCTTGTCACCAGCCCAGGAGCTCCTCGGACACCTCCAGGGACGGGGATTCCACCTCCACACGCTCTCTCCGTGCACAGCAAATACCTGGCAGCTGGTTTGGGTCAGATTCATGGCAAGAAAGTTTTTAAGTCTTCAAATTCCCTCCTCTTAAAGGAAACATGTCTTGGTCAGAACTCCCAAAGGCCTTGGTCAGGAGATCCATGAAGTTCAGGCCATTCCTGCTGTTTGGGACAGCCCGGAAAGCTCCTCTCTCCCAGCTCTGTGGAAAGAGCTCCGTTTTCAAGCTGCTTCCTCCAGTCCCAGCTCCTCATTCCTCTGCTCCCGTCCTCCCCTGGCATTCGATTTCCCTTCTCTCCACAGCTCATGGAAGAATCAAGCGCTGATTTTCAGCCACCAGCCCTCCCCTGCTCCCGGGGGAGATTCCTGCCTCCCTCATTCCCAGAAATACCAACTCTGACTCACCCCCATTACGAAACGCTGCAGCCATTCCCCCCTGCCTCTCCTCCAGGGTCGTTTGCTCACCTCTTGTCTCCGGGGATGTTTTATGAGCGCTCAGAAGAGTTTTTTTCCGTGAGGATTCCATGCTGCCGTCTCCCATTGTCCATTCCTGCCTTCTTGCATCATTCCTCATTTTCCCTCGGCGCTGAGCCGCTGTCATCGGGCTCTGTAAACAAATCCCGAGCCTCTCTGGCATTGTGAAACGGCTCCAGCTTGATTTCTGACTGTCCTGTTCCCCAAATAACCCTGGCTCTGCTCTGCTGGCATCTCCCTGACATTCCCTGGAGCTCAGCATCCACTTCCCCCAGGTGCTGAACTCCAGGGAGCTCCTGGGAACGGGCTGCAGATCCTTCCACCTATCCCCAAATCAATCCCAACGTTATTTCCTGCCTTTCCAGGCCTTCAGACAGATTCCCAAATCCCTTCCCTGCATATAAACGTCTCCATGCACAGCACAGGTGGGAAAAAGAACTCCAGAAATGCTGGATTTATATGAATGAGCAGGCACATGGGTGTTGTTTTGTCTCAGGAAATATTTTATGGATAATCAGAGCTTCTTTTCACTGGATTTTCCTTTATTTTTTTTTTTTATGGGCCTTATGTTGCATCAATTCTTTTATTATTTTTTATATATATAGCTTGATCTCTTAAAAATTGGATTTATTAAAGTGTGTAATCTCCCAAAATCCATTTAGGATTGGTAATGCATCTCCCAGCCTGAATTAATATCAGCTGTTATTTTGGGGGAAAAAACATCAGAACCGGGCAGATCCTGAAGTGCTTCCAGCCAGGATTCCACACAGCAGCTCCCACCACGGAACAGGACCCATTTCCCATCCTCACAATTCCCATCATCTCCCAGGGATGATCTGGACTGGGAGCTGGGACAAACTGGGAGAGCTGGGGGTTAATCCATCCGCCAGCAGAGGGATTTGGGGATGGCACCCTGCATTTCATCCCGGGATTTTTGGAGGTTCAGACCTCACCAGGACCTCGGAAGCTCCTCCCGTGTCCCCCTGAACCTTTCCAAGGATGCTCTGCCCCCACAGCCCCATCCCAGCTCATCTAATTACAGCTTAAACCCTTCTGGTGAGGCAACATCTGCCTGTTCCCCGTTAATCCGTGTTCCCCAGCTCCAGAACCGGAGCCATCTGGGCAGGGAAGGTGGCTCAGCTTCCCATTAAACATTTACAGCGACATCAAGGCAACTGTTGCTGAGACAACCCCGCTGATCCCGCGTTTCCAACGCTGCAAAAAAGAAAAACAAACAGGAAAATAAAATAAAAGGGTCTAAAAACAGCTGTGGATCATCACATCCCCCCAGCCCAGGGTGTGAACTCCTCTCATTCCCATCTACAAATTCTTGCTATGTTAAAATAAAGGATTTGGGATAATTTAATAATATTTAGGGCCCGGCTTGAGCAACCAAATAGCCTTTAAATAAAACATTCCCTGCTGGAGCAGGTGCCCTTCAACCTCCCTGGGCTTAAAATAGCTCTGGAGTCAGGATGAGCCCCCAGTTCAGCTTTCCTGAGCGGGGTTTAATGTGACCTTAATTTGGGCAGGGCCATTATCTCTGTCCCCACGCTGTGGCAGCCATTCAGCCTTGGTTAGAAATAAGAAAACATTTTCCTTCCAAATCTTGCTGGATTTGGTTGAATGTCCCACCCTTTTATCTCCCTCAAGGTTTTTTGGGACAGAATATCCCGTTCTCTCACCAGTGGCGAGGTCAGCAGAGCGGGGAGAGCCTAAAAACTTGGCTGAAAATTAAGGAATGAAGCCGGAAATTGGGAATATTTTGAGGGGGAAGGTTGGGGGATTATGGCTTTTGAGGGTGTGTGGAGTTCACAGGGCCAAGAAATTCCGATCCTGTGTTCAGTGTTGGGCTCCTCAAGGGAATGGAGCTGGAGAAGGATCTGGAAATGATCCAGAGGTTCTCTGGAAGAGCCTTTCCTTCCGTGAGCTCATGGATCCAGGAGCTTCCTCTCCCAGGACTTTTGGGTCCCTCCCAAACCAGTCTGGGATTCCTGGGGTCACCTGGAGCAGACTCATTAAAAAAACACCCTGGAATATTGGATCCAGGAATGAAAACCCCAGCAGGCCCAGGAATAAAAGTGAAATTCCTCAAAGAAACTCCCAAGTACCGCCGGCACCCCGGGCTGTGCTGGGAGCAGCGGGATCCGGGAGTGGGGAAGCCAGAGAGAGGGAATTGCCCTGGGATTCATCTGAAATTCCTGGTTTTCACTGTGGGGCTGCTCTGGGAGCACCCATGGAGGCTCCCAGGGTTGGGAAGGGGCAGGAGGAAGTGGGAATTTTTGTACAATAATTTCTTGGGAGAGCCAACATTTTCCCTCATGGATCAGACCCAGGGAAAGGATTTCCCTTCTATTTCCTGGTCCTTTATTTCACCCACAGGGGAGCAAACACGCCCTGCTCACATCCATATCTGGGACATGGAACAGGACATTTCCTGCTGACAATTCCCTATTTTCTGCCAGGAAAGATTGGATTTGGAACTTTTGGATCAAAAGATTTGAATTGGATCTCTCCCACTCCTTCCTCACTTCCAAGCTGGATCCAGCCCCTCTTCCTGGATGTTCCTCTCACCTCACCCTGCTGCCAAGCCCCACAAAACCAGGAGAATCTCCAGCAGAATCCCTGCCATTCCTGGGGCTCCAGAGGCTCTCCCAGTGCCGGAATCCTGCTGGGATCTCCATCTTTGGAAGCGTGGCTGTGCTCCAGTGCCCTCCGTGGGAGGGTTGGGCTCCCACGTCACTTGTTTTGGAGCTTCCCGCTGCTCCTGCTGACGTCCACAGGACCACGTCAGGCTCCGGCAAGGGAAGCGCGGCCCTTTTTTGGGAGCAAAGGGATTTGGGAACAGCTGGGCTCTGTCAGGAATTCAGCACTCCAGTGATAAACACTCCAGGGTTGTTTGTTTTTTTTTCCCCTCTGCTCCAGCACAATGTTTTCCTTTCTCTTTAGGAAGCGTTGTTTCGCTGCTGAGGGTGGAATTCTTTGCCGGAGTCCTTTTGGAATTTGCTTTTTCCCCTCATTGCAGCCTCTCCAAAGCAGCTGTGGCCCCTTTGGAAAGGGAAAAAATCCTTTGGCTCCCACAGAATTTGGGAGCTTTGAGTCCTGAGGCGGAACTGGGGCGCTTTTGGGGGGTTCAAAAGGTTTGTGGAAGGAGAGAGGTGGAGGAGCAAAGGAGAATTGGGGGTTTCAAATGTCTGGGAAAAGGGGATTAATCAAAAAAGAGGGATTAAAAAAAAGGGTGGTTAAAAAATGGGGGTAAAAAAGGAGGATAAAAAATAAAGGGAGCTAAAAAAGGGGGATTAAAAAAGGGATAAAAAATAAAGGAGGATAAAAAGGGGGGTAAAAATAAATGGGGATTAAAAAGGGATGAAAAATAAACGGGAATAAAAATTAATGGGGATAAAAAAATAAATGGGGATATAAAAAAGGGGAATAAAAGAAAAGAGGGGGATAAAAAAGTAGAATAAAAGAGGGGAACAAAAAAAGGGGGCTAAAAATAAAGGGGGGTAAAAATAAAGGGGGAATAAAACAGGATGAAAAAGGAGGGATAAAAAAGGGGGATAGAAAAAAAAGGGGGACAAAAATGGGGGATAAGCCCAGAGCTGGCAGTGGTGTGTTACCCTAAATAAATTTTGGGATAACAAAATAAAACAAAATAAAACAAAAGCACAAATATTTGGCAATTTGAACACTTTCCAGAAAGCCTCTAAGCCAGACAAATCCCCACCTGACTCGTCCTTAGCTCCTGGGAAAACCCCAAATCCACAGCGAAGCACTTTTCACTGCACACACACCCTGACCTGGCTGCAAAGTCCCTCCTTTCATGTGGGTGGCAGGGAGATAAGGCAGGCCCTGCTCTTAAAAATGAATAAATCAGAAGTAAATAAAGAAATCAGTGGAAAATAAAGAAATCAGCAGGGAAAAATCAGATTAGAGAGCCAGGAGGTGGAGTTGGCTCAGCTGGGACAGCCCCAGCTGAAGGACAGGGACACTGGGAGACGCTGCCTGGCTGGAAAATCCCTTTATCCCAACCTGGAGAGATCCAAAAGTGAGGATCACACCCAGGGCTTTCATCTTATCTGGGAGCTGGGAACCTGCTGGGCAGGGGAAGGAGCAGGAGGCCGAGTGGGGCCAGCAGGAGCTTCTCACCTTGGACCAGATGTGGTCAGAGCCTTTTTTATTCCACGTGTGCTGCCTTTCTTTGCATAGCCCAAGTGCCATTAGGTGTAATTAAGGCAATTATGCTGAATTTTAGCAGCCCACAGAGTAATTGGGGGCAATTTTTAGCATCCCCAGGGGCATTTTGAGAGCCCTGCTGATGATTTTCCTGCTTGAGGTCTCAGCTCAGGTGTGGCTCAGGTGACACCTTTGAAGTGGACGTTGTTGTGCTGCTGCTGTTGGGATAGAACTGGAGGAGAACAACTCAAATTTTCCAGTTTTTCCTTTCTTTCTTGTGAAAAAAAAGAAAGGAATTTTCTCTTGTTTCAGCTCTGAAGCAAATAAAACCTGAGGAATGAGTGGGAAAGATCCAGGCTCAGGTGGGACACCACGCTAGAGAAGAAATGGGCTCAGAGCTGTCACCCCACAGGGAACAATCTGAGGATCATTTTGTCCTCCCTCCCTCGCTTTGGGTGAGAAATTACAGCCTGCCCCTGAGAAACCTTCCCCAAAAAAATGGAAAAAAACCTCCTTGATGCGTTTTGTTTGCAGCAGAAGGATCTGCCAGCTCTGCAGATCCTGCTCTTGGGAGACAAAAGGCAGCTCCAAAAAAACCTAGGAAAAAAGTTTTTCCCAGCCTTTTCCAGGTTCCTCCAAGGCATTTTGTCCCTTCCCTGCCTGAGGAGTGACCTCGGCTCAGCAGCAAAATTCCTGGGACCGCTCAGATCCTGATCCCAGCTCTAAATCTGGAGCGGCTCCGGCCTCACCCAGAGAAATCTGAGCTCTCCTCTGGCTGTCACTGAACGTCAGCACCTGATCCAGAGTCACCTGAGCACCGGGAAGGGCAAAATCCCCAGGCTGGCTTGGGAAAAATTCCATCAGGAGGGAGGGAAAGCTTTTCTGGGTGTTCTTGGAGCAGGGAGAGCAAAGGGGACTCAGCCCTGGGCTGAGGGAGTTCCGAGCATCACCCTCTGCTCCACATCCAGGGAAAATCTGGGAATTTCGTGGCTTTGAAAAGCATTAAATCCCTGTTTTTTACTCTACCATCTCCTCTGCTCCAAAACACCACCAGCCCAAAGGGAAATTTGGGATTATTCCTTATTCCCTTCTTCCCTCAGCTGACTCCTGCATTTCAGGCCTTCCTGTGGAATTGCCGAGCAATTCCCATTCCCAACTTTTTTTCCTCAGCCACAACCTTCCCTGAATTCGAGCCTCACCCCTCACAGTGGGGCAAGAAAAGCCTGGAACGGGCTCGAGATTTGGGGAGCTCGGAGCTGGAATTCCTGACGGAGCAGAGCTCTTGGAGCACAGCGAGGCCTTGTCGGAAAGAGGGGAAAAAAATAATAAAAAAAAATCCCATTTATGGCTGACAAACGTGGCCAGAGGCCAAGGAAAACCCTCCTGGGCTCTGGATCCGGCGGGGTGAGGGGGTGGGAGATATTTTTAGCTGTTTTTTCTGCTCCTGAGGCCTTCGCTTGCCTCAGGCCTTGAGCGAGCGGCTGAGGAGCTCTCCTGAGGAAGGGGAGGAGGAGGAGGGAGTGGGAAGTTGGAATCTGAGACCCTTTTAAGCTCTGTTTGCTCTTCCAGCCTCCGCAGGTTCCAAGGGCACGGCCGTGAGGCCGATCTGGTTATCCTGGGGAGGGAGGGGAGAGCCTTGGAGCACTTTATGGGGGATTTATGGAGGATTTTCCCCCCTCCTCTGGGCCATTCCCATCCCCAGCGCCCCTTATCCCAACTAGGATCCTCAGCAGGGATCAGAGGGAAACAGGCCCGGGCTGTGCTTTCCCATGGTTTGTAGCTCCAGGGAAAATGGATTTCCCCCTCCCTTCTCCTCTTGTGCAATGTTTGACCTTGCCAGGCTCAGCCTCTTTCCAGGCCTCACGTTCCCAGCTCCTTCCCCTCCTCAAAAATTCACTTTTCCAGCTTCCCGAGTCCCCAGGTGCTTCCAGAGTGGGAAGTGAAACTCCAAATTCTTCAGGAAACTGAGGATTGTTGTGTTTCAGCAGCCACGGAGCAGCCCCATGGAGCGAGTTTTCCAAGGAAAATGGGAGGAATGTCATTGGGATAAGGGATTTCAGCCTGGCTGCACATCTTGGGATGGTAAAAACACCCCCAGAGCCTCTGGCAAAGGCCTTGGGAACACTGAAATCCAACAGGGAGCGGATGTGCTGCTCCAGGGAGGGATCCCTGTGGCTCTGACCTGAAATTTGGGCTCCAAATGTGATCCAACCCCAGATTTTTGGGTAAATGACACCTCCTTTAACAATTTCCCAGTTCCCTCCCTGGCTGCTCACACCCAGCTCCAGCTCCAAGGCCACATTCCTGCTCTGGCCTCCCGGATTTTCTTGAGTGACAGAACTTTCCTGTGGGATTTTGGGGAGAAAACCACATTAGCTTCCTCCTCAGGGTCTTCAAGACAAACAGAAACATTTGGAGGGCGATGCTCAGCCCGTCCTTGCTCCGGTGCTCATCCAGCTCTCAGAATTCCCAGCGGAGCAGCTTTGGGAGGACGTGGTGGAGCTGTGGATTTCTCCAAGGAGTTTTCCAAAGCTCTGGAAGGTGAATCCATGCGGTTCCTGCCCTGCTGCATCACCCCAACAAACCCAACCCTCCAGCTTTGCCAGGGAAGGGCGAGGACTCCCTGGGAAGAGCCCGGAGCAAGCCCGCAGAGGAAGCCAGGAGGGATCTCCTGGAGCAGGGATCAGCTTGGGAAGAGGCACCACCCAGATTTAAACTGGGCCTGGGTGTTTCCCAGCTTTAGCCAGGCTCCCTTTGTGCCCTAATTGCTGCTTGCAGGGCCAGGGAGCCCTGGGAAGCCGTGGCCTCTTTCAGAATTTGTGGGTGTAGCCTGAGAAGATCCCCCAGGAGCTTCTCCCAGTGTCCCTTCCCTCCCATGGACCGTCCCCAGGAGAAAAGTCCACCCTGGATTTGGAGGGGGTGGGTTGGGCAGAGCTTTGGGCCCCAACTCTTCATTTTGGAATCAGATAAATCCGTTCCTTGCACAATCCTGCTGCTGCTCAGCCCCGCAGCACCTTCCATGTGCAATCCCAGAATATTTAGGCAAAGGGAAAAGCTGAGCTGAGGGGTGGCTTTGCATGGGGAAGTGTCCCAGACCCAGGAAAAAGAAGTTTCTGGGTTGACCAGGCTGAAATGGGGCTTCTCTTATTATTCAATTTGCAAAGTGCCTTTGGGTTGATGATATTTTAAGTTATTTATTTCATGTTATTTATTTATTTATTTATTTTATTTTATTTATTTTAAATAAAAGAAGAAATAGTGAAGAGCGTCCCAAACAATAAGAAAAAGCCATTCCAGATATCCCAAATACCAAACCCAGGCCCAGCTCTGAGCTGAGCCACGTAAAAAATCCTTCCTGAGGAGCTGCTCCAGCACTAAAAATATTGTATAAAGGAATTTGGGAAAGAGGGACGGACAGGGTGCATTAAATAAAATTAAATAGATGCGTGAAGAAAATAAAGTGGAGTAAGGAAGGGGCTGGTGGGCAGGGAGAGGAGGGGAAGGTGGATCCATCTGGACAGATCCAGAATCTGGGCGGGGAATGAGGTCTGGAATCAGCCCTGGATGGGTCAGTTTGCCATGAACTGGCCCAAATCTGGAGTCTGGAGCCTTCTTATCACCGCCTGCTACACTTGGGACTGCCTTGATCCCTTCAGCCTTGTGGGAAAGCCCAGAACATCCCAAAAAAACCCCATATGGACACCGTGGATCCCACAAAACCCCCCAGACCTGTGGAGCAGCTCAGATTTGTGCTGCCCCAATCAAAACCCCTTTAATCGGTGCCCATCTCCCGCTCTCCCCCTCCAAAACAGCGAGAATAAACTGCATTTCACAACCTTTTAAAAAACACATTCAAGCCCAGCCGGTGGCTCTGAGCAGGGTCAGGAAATTCCCTTCCCAGCTGCTGCAGCCACGGAGGTTTTGGTGCTCTTGGCCTTGTTTTTGTGCCGGGGATTGGGGTTGCCATGGAGCTGCACCACACGTTCCCTTCTCTTCGTGCTCCCCAAGCAAAGAAACGGGCAGAGAAATGCAGATTTCGGGCAATGTGCTGCCTTGGCAGCTCCTCCCAGCCTGG